CTCCTCTTATCTGTCTTGGACTAATTGATAATATCTCTGATTTATTATTACATCACCTTTTGCTTATCGCCAAACGATATATTTACACATGTAAGTTAAATAACTGCAACCCTGCGCTACAGGTTTATAAACAAACCGTTATGAACTCCATGGAAATTGAAAAAGAGATTGCCTCTAATAATAACAATATGTCCTCCTTCAAAAACAAATGGAGCCTTCTCAAACTTTGCCCTTCGGACAAATAAACTTGCTGTTATGAAATAATTCCAAAAGTTCCCAAAGTTAAAAGTGATGCAGAAACAAGTGCAAATGCAAAGCACCTTTTAGTTGGTAGGACAGACTCCTTATGTTTTTGTTGTATCGTGTTTTATTTTGAAATTTTGCAAATAGTAGTCAATTTTGTAAAACTTTTTTAGGCTTAATTAGTTGTAAATGCTGTAACATTGTATTTTTCCTTTATCTCTTGTACGTTGTTTTTATTTTTCCTCCATGTAAATGTAAGTATTGTCATTAGAGGTGCTGTAACCAAATAAATGTTATTAAAAAAAAAGAAAAAACAAAAACAAACTGGCGGTGGCTTGGCAGATCTCTTGGCGTCGAAGAGACAGTCATTGAGAACATTCAGACGGAGAACGAGAAACAGGAAGAGTGTGCCTTTCAAGTCCTGCGAAAATGGTCTGTCTCAAAAGGATCCAAAGCTACCGTTCATTTGCTGATGAAGGCCATAGAGGAAAATGGCAACGTTGGAGCCATGGAAACCTTTGATCGTCACTTGGGTGAACGTCATGGCGAAGAAACAACTCAAGATAACTAAAAGAGATACTTCCTGAGAGGCCGATTGAATGGCGAATTTAACCCCCGGCTATTTTTAAAAAACTACCTATTTTTAAAAAGCTATCATTATTTTTAAAAAGCAATTTCTAAAAAAACTATCTGCATCCTCTTTCCTGATGTCATCAAAACAGACAGATGATTACTGTGGAGAGATCCTTTGCCTTCCACCCCAAGAATCAAACCATAATTTAATCCCATTTCAGTTTTCAAAATTAAGGAATGTAACGGGGGCTGTGGATATATACCATATGCAGATCGCGGAGGATGTCATTTCAGCCTCGGTGGATAACGGCCTCCGAGATCTGCATAATTCTTCATATCATGCTAGAGGCTAGAGTCAAATTCAATAATTGTATCATTCATTCAAAATATTTCTAAGTTCTTAACATCCTCACTTCCTCGAGGATTTCCTTTCTCCGAACAGTTTCAGAATACGAATGGATGACTAGAATCTATAATATTAAACTACAACCTAAAATTAATAATATAAAGTAAGCCTCAGTATAGCAATAAATCCAATTGACTGAAAGAGCCATAAAGTGTTGCATTTATTTTCAACTAACTGTTTATATTGCACATTTCATGTAACAATTTTCCTTTGAATTCTTTTATATTACCAGGAGTGAACGTTAATTTTTGTTCTTATTTTTGACAACCCGCCTCGATTAGCTATGCTCACTGCGGTTTTGTCAAATGGATGTTTGCAACCCAGTCAGTCTTGATCTTTTTCAAGGTCAATTAATTCTTTTGACCTTGAAGACTTTCTTTTGCCAAAACGAGACCACAGCATTGTTTGTCAGGTGTGATATTGTGTGAGTTTGTAGAATAAGAATCAACTGAATTATTAACTTGAGTTGGTTTTTCAAGAATTTGTTAGATGTTATCGTAAACTAAGTAACTGCAAGCTCAGAAATGTGGATCGCTGCTCCCAGACAGTTATGTCCGATTTATAACGTCATGTGACATGTGAAAAGGGATAGGAATTTACTACTTGTAACTTCTGCAGCCCCCTAACTAAAGTATATACCCTGATAAGCAACAAGATCCATTTCGGCCCTAAAGTGCCAATTTAGCCATGCAGACCAAACTCTGATTCAGCCTCTCTTGGCCATTTAAGCACAATTTAAGCCAAAACAGCCCCAGCAAAACTGTATTCCAGCCCACGCTGGGTATCATTTCAGCCTTTGGATACAAATGAGAACTAGTTAATTGGACTGTATTGGCCCTGGGTAAGGCAAACACAGGACTGTATTTTACTCACCGAAATGACCCCTTTTTCCACTACGGCTAAAACATATCTTTCTGATTTACTCTGTAAATTTAAATTAAATTTAAATTGAAAATTCATTTTATCGTATTACTATTTTTAATGTGAATTAATAATGATTTGGAGAAACATAAACATGTAAAAAGTAACGGCGACGTCATCAGGCCACTGTCAAAGAATGGAAATAAATGCATGCGAATGGTTCAATTTTTTCTCCAACTCAATTTTTCATTTATGCAAATCTAGAGTACTTTAACTCTTTTTGAACTTGCAGTTATTTCCATTCCTCATGATGTCGCCGAAACGTTGGAACATTGTTTCGTTATTAGTTTTAACATGTTTATGCTATTTTATCATGCGTCCAAAAAAAAGGAAACTAAGAATTTTTTTTTCTGTTTGGACACTCCATTTAAAATCTTCCTTAAATCAGTGGAGCCTACACTGGTGTCCAAGTAATCATAACTTTCAAACAGGTCCACCAAAAAATCACCAACTTACAGCAATGTTCAACAACAACAAGAACAAATTTTATTGAAAATTTAGTTCTAACCACTAACATCACTTTCCCAGCCTCAAATAGCTTATGAACTAATGGAGGTGTGGGGAGCTAAGGACATATTTACAAATACAAGGTTTATCTATAGGTGGACTAAATAAATAAAATTTACCTTTGATTCGCTTGAGATGGTTGACGTTTCCACTCCATTCTCCTTTCCAGTTAATGTTGTAACAAATTGGGAACTATTTGTTATCAACCTTTTCCACATTTTACAATTGGGCTGCCTGTGCTGGCGCCCAATCTAAACTGAGTGGCGTCCGGCGTCTGAAAAATGACGGGCGGATCACCTTTCCCGTCCCCTCTACCATGGAGCAACGTTTTTAGTTGTTGAGGGGAGGGTGGGTCATTAATAGAGAGATTAAGATTCACGTTTACCACAAACGGCTAACGTCAGATCCAAGTTGAGAATTTCTCAGAATAGAAATAAGCAGATAAAAACAGCTCCAAAAGATTCCTATGGTTAAAACTGACATAAAACTACTTATTTTTGTGTAGAAGCAATAAAGAGTAAACGGAAAATAAGGGGGAAACTGGGTCACGTCGTAGAAATTCACGTCTGCCGTTTGCCGTAAACGTGAATCTTAATCTCTCTAATAACAAAAATCTTGCAGACAGACTTAAGATGAAAATGCGAAATTGTTTTAAAACAAGATAAATGTCGCTAATGTTCTATGTCATTACTTTGTCAATAAGGTGAGCCGTGGTATAAATAGACATGATATATGAACTCAATTAGCGACATTTTTTGTTTGTTTTGTTTTTTCTATATTTTTTTTGTCACTCTGTTCTGCTGTAGGGATCCGTGTGGTGTTTATATTACAAGAATCTAACTCTTGACCTCTCTAAAGACGTCACGGTGTCACATTTTGTCATGTACAAAAATGCTGACAATTTTTTCCGGGCTGGTTTTTCGCCTTCGCTATGCATGAGTTTTCCATATCTGAAAGAAAAATATGCCTTTTGCCTGTAAAAATTCGCTCTGTTCTTCAAGAACATTCAACAATTGCTCAATATGTCATCGAACGTTCTTCGACAAAGCAAGTCTGATGCAGTATTCACAACAAAAACGAGATACATGCAAGCACTGCGAAAGATCATCTACCGAATTCAAACCTAACTGGTACCTTAATTCCGCCCAAAATAATCCGAAAGATCTTCACCATGCTGCTTGTACAGGCAATTTTCAACTCGTGGCTGAATTTATGCGAACTGAGTTTTCAGACCAACCAGGGAAATCTCACCTTTCCCGTTCAAAATTACAATACGGATACACACCGATCCACTGCGCGGCTTTCGGCGGACACTACGATTGTCTTAAGCTTATGCTCAGCCATCCAGATGGAAAACCAAATATTATTGATCCCGAAGACGGGAGAACACCGGTTCACCTAGCTTGCTGGAAGGGGCACGCAGATTGTCTCAAGCTGCTTCTCAGTAAAGGAGGTAACTTATATCTTCGTGACCACAATAGGGATACACCGATATCATTAGCACGGGATTACGCCTGTTTGTCGATAATTCTTCTCCATCTTGCTGGTAAGTGAATATGAAAAACGGTGTTGTGTTATTGAAAGTTGTGGCTATATTGATTGAACATGTGTTAGTTTAATAATGTTAGCTAGCGGTGTGTGCAGCGCAGTGAGCAAGTGATATAGCTTTCTCTTTATCCATTTAACTCTGATCACCCGATGCAAGGTAGTGCCCGTGGGGGGAAGTATTTTCCCTATGATGGCCTTTACGGGTATCTTTTTCAGGCTTCAAGTATATATGAAAGGGTAGGGAGTTAACTAGTTAAAGTAAAAATTTGTCTTTGGAATCCGGTGGCGTTGGAATCCTAAATTCAGCTCTAGGAATCCAGAATCCCGCTTACAATTAGAATAATGATGCAGCAAAAAATGCATGTTATGGTTGAATGATTATGCTACGAAATCTAAAAAAGCTCTGTTTACATTGCAAGCCAGTCTCAAAACAAGCCACATGACACAAATGACACCTTGCATTATGGAAAAAATTATAATCATTTGCATTTAAATGACAAAAATATATCATGCAGTTAGTGAGCTGTGCCATCATTAAATTCCTGCTCTACAGTACGGAGTGCAAGTTCTACGGACAATAAATCCGAAATCCACAGAGTGCAATTCAGAATCCAAGGCTGTCTTGGATTACCTTACATATAAAGGCGAGAAGGAAGTTTTTTCAAACAGCTAAAGTAAACCATAATTCCCACCATTTCCGTTTCAGAGGAAGCCGAGTCAAACTTTTTCCGTTAGTGCAAAGATGCTAAAAATTCACTTATAATGTTTTTAAATGATTGCTGAAAGATCCGTAAGTTACTCA